GCTTCGGATTCCTTGGACTCTCCTTCTTCCACCGCAGTAGCGAATCCCGCTTCTGTCGCGAGTCCTGATTCGCCTTCACCTCCGATTAAATCTGCATCTGCAAGTACGATTGTCAGTCCAACAACAGCCCCATACAAGACTGACGGCCCTATTGCCGCACGACTGTTGCAAGATGCTCTTGCCTCGGCCAACAATCAACCAATCCTTGTCAACAAAAACCGGTTGCACAATGTGTCACTAGCTGCAAAGCCTTTGCCAAGTACTAAAGAGCCATCCAATGTCAACGGAGGAGTTAATGGAGGCGGCGTTCATAGCCACTCGGCGTCAATATCAGCATCTGCGGTTGACGGGTCAACGAACGGATTGAGTCGTGCCGTGTCTATTCGAAGTGACATGGGCGGCTTGGTGGAAGATTCTGCTGCGGCTGCAGCAGCGGCCGCCGAGAGGGAGCACGTGGCACTGATTGCCCAGCGAAAATCGTTGCTTAAGCAGGGCCTGAAACTGTTTGAAGAGAAACCAGTCAAAGGAGTCGCGTTTTTCCAAAAGAACGGATTCATAACGAAACAAATCTATCCCAAGCTGGGCCTGAAAAAGCAACAAGAATCAAATGAGAATCCAGTGCAGAATGGAGCTACTTCTGAGATTGCTGCAAAGGCGCCGCCTATCGATGAAAATGCCGCGTATAGCATAGCTTGCTTCCTGAAGTCTACAACTGGGCTCAGTAAAAGCGGGATTGGGTCGTACTTGGGCGAAGGAGACGCGTTTTACATTCGGGTGATGCATTTATTTGTCGACTTGCTTGATTTCGAAGGGCTTGGGTTTGTGTCGGCATTGCGAATGTTCCTGCAGACCTTTCGTTTGCCTGGCGAGGCGCAAAAGGTTGTGGTCTTAATTTTATGCGTCTAGTATGATGTTTAGCTTTTTTTAAAACCGTTCCTTTTTTGAAACCAGATTGATAGGTTAATGGAAAAGTTTGCGGATCGGTACTGCGAAAACAATCCCGACGTGTTTGCGAAAGCCGACACAGCTTATACACTTGCGTTTTCTGTGATTATGCTCAACACGGACTTGCACAGTGAGCATATCAAGAATCGTATGGATTTGCCCGCATTCCTGAAAAACAACCGGTTGGCTTTACCTGAATTATTTCTCGCTTGCATACTTATCACATTTTCGACAGGGGTATCAACGACAACGCGGACCTACCAGATGCGTTCCTTGCTGAAATCTTCAATGAAATTCAAAACAATGAAATCATCATGGAAGACGAGCAGTCTGGCAAATTTGCCAAGATGGTGTCTGGATGGAGTGGTGGCGGTGGTGCAACAGACTTATCTGACAAGGACCGCATGGACCTGTACCATCGAGAAGCTGCGCAGATTCAGAAAAAGAGCCAGCAATTAATGAATGCTGCCCGTACTGCGGCGAATGGGTCTGGCACCGCAAGTAACTCCACATCAGACGAGCCGAAAGCCGCATATCGTAGCGCTGCGAGTGCTGACCTTGCGCGACCCATGTTTGCAACTGCGTGCTGGCCGCTCATTGCAACGTTTAGCCAGCTTTTTGAAAGTGCATCGTCAAGTGAAGTTTTGATTTTGGATGACGATTCTACTTCAAATGCTGCCGCAAACGGAAGCATGGCGGATCTTCTTGAATCGAGAAAACAAGAACTGACTGTCGTCGACTTGTGCCTGGATGGATTTGCTGGTGGAATCCGGGTTGCCAGTCTCTTCAAAATGGAAATGGAGCGCGAGGCGTTTGTGACTTCATTGACCAAGTTGACTGGACTCTCGCATTTCAGGGATCTGAAAGCCAAGAATGGAAAAGCGATCAAGATGATGCTGGGGTTGACTTTGAAGTGAGCTTCCTTTCATTTTACCTTTGTACAACATAATTACTCACCTCGGCGATAATTACAGTTTGATGGAAAGCTTGGACTCATCATGGGTACACATCATCAAAGTTATCAGTCAAATGGAGCGCCTTCAATTGCTTGGCAGCACAAATCGTGGAGCGTCTATGGACGCGCAACGCCCTTCAATGACGGATGAGCAAACACACAGAACCATTGAAAAGTTTTTGGAGGAATTCTCTAGCCAAGACACGGTTGTCGCCGTCGATCGAATTTTTACATTCACGACAAGCCTGACGGGTCCAGCAATTTTGCAGTTTTTCAAAGCTGTTTGTCATGTCTCGTTGGAAGAAGCTGAAGTGGACCCTATTTCGCTTGCGCGAGTCGCGGCAATGCAGGGAAACAGTCCTACCGCTGATAACGGGCATTCACCTGTCCCCACTCCGCAGTCCGTTGCTGGCAGTTTGAAAGCGAGTGGTGGTAATTCAATCGTCACGCTGAAAAGTGACAGTCCCCCAAGAATGTACTTGCTTCAAAAAATCGTTGAAATTGCGCACTATAATATGCATCGTATTCGGTATGAGTGGAGCCAGATTTGGAAGTGAGTTAACCATGTATTTATGAAGCTGGTCTGTACTTTTTGACTGACCAACCTTGGTTGTTGGACAGACTGCTGCAACCTTACTTTGTTGTGGTTGGATGCCACCCAAACCAAAGGGTGTCGTCACTCGCTGTTGATGCCTTGCGTCAATTGAGCATGAAATTCTTGGAACGCGAAGAACTGGGCCACTTTTCCACACAGAATGAGTTTTTAAAAAGCTTTGAACGAATCATGAGGCTTACCACGGACGATAGTATTCGGCACATGATTCTTGGAAGTCTTGGGCAGGTGACTTATCTGTGATTCAAAACATTTGGGAAGTCTCGTTTAATATAAGATTCAGATGATCGCCGCTCGAGCTGGATCAATTCGTTCTGGGTGGAAGCCTATTTTCATTGTATTGTCGCGGCCTACACTGATGACGGCGGTTTCGAATGATTTTGACGAGCTTTTGCTGGAGGCTTTCCAACTTGTTCAGATTATTTTCAGAGAATACTTCTCTATCGTTGTTCATGCCGGTGGATTGCTGGAATTCATCAACTGCGTCGCCGATTTTGCTCTGATTGATCCAATTCGGCAGACACATGACGAAATTATTCTGAGCAGTATCCAGCTTCTTCAACTGAGTGCTAGCCAACTATTCCAGATGGCAGAAGACGAATCAGAACACATGAAAATGAGGACTCAAGAGAACGAGTTGGTTGCGTCCATGGCAGCCAGTGCTGACAGCTCTTCTCAATCTGCGCCTTTCAAGCTCGTTGTCCAAACTTCAACAAACACCATCACGCAATTTTCCAAAATGGCATCACAGCCTTACATGCTTCCGTCCGGGCTAATCAGCGAGGAACACTTTTTCCTCAAATGGTTCCCCATCTTTTCTGCATTTTCCCGCGTCGCATTGGGATCGACGAATATGGACTTTCGAACAAAATGCATTGAATCATTGTTTGAGGTCCTAAACATGTGCATCCACTTGTTTGATCTCCAATGCGTGCGAGCAATATTCCGAAGCGCAATCTTGCCCATTTTCGACGACTTGAAAGATCAACGCGATAAAGCGGAGGATGACTTGGACGGATCCGGGCAGCAAAGTGACCCACTTAAGGAAGCCAGTGGAACAATTTGGATTCTTGGGCTGCGACTCACGGTCGACTTGTTTTCTGAAAACTTTTCGCAAATTGTGATGGATCATGAGATTGTCGCGAATGTTTTGAGCATTGCGCATTCAATGATGAAAAGGCGAGACAATACTCTTGTGGCAACGGGGCAAATCTGCATGCATCAGTTTATTCAAAGGAACGTGGCCAAGTTTGGACAGCTTGGCTGCTGGCCGCCAGTCATTGATGCCATCGAAAATGCCTTCCGCATGACGAATCCATACGAACTTGTCAACTGCGATTTCAGCAGTATGAAAGTCCTCCCCGAACTCCCAGCTTCAATGATAATGAATGTCGCTTCTCTGGGGTCCATCCAGGCGAATGCCGTTGGTGTCCTTGCAGACGTGGTCGCTGAAGGGACAGCCACTGCCAAAGCGCATGGCGCCTTTGTTTCATTGGAGTCGCTGGACTTTAATCAAACGGTCATCAAGTGTTCAGTTCATATTGAGCTGTTACAGTCAATCAGGGATGCTCTCTTACTGCTCGTGGATGGGGAATCATCCACGCTGGCCATCAATACTATACCCGGAGCAGATCGTGAACGCATGTTGGCGTGTTTACGTGACTCATACACTGTTGCTCGATCTTTCAACGCCAATTACCATTTACGATACAGCATTTGGAAAAAACGACTTGTTCAACAGCTGCCCAACTTGATCAAGCAAGAGACAATCTCCATCGGATCCCACATCAAAGTTTTATTCGCCATTTATCGCGCCGAGGGAGATGTGAATGAAACTGTGGTCAAACGCGACTCGGAGGCTGTTGCACGTGCGGATCGGAATGTGAACATGCTTGTGACTGAAACTGTCGACATTTTGGAACGCTATGTGATGATGCTCGGAGACGCGCAAGTGAATGCAACCAACATTGCATTATGGAGCCCTGTTGTTGTGCTCGTATTCAGGGAGCTGTATGCAATGGACTGTTGGTGGAAGTCTGGACGGCAACAGCAAAAGGTTGTGGATGCTTTGGAGGAAGGCGGTGCTGTTTCTGGAGCAAAGTGTTTGGTCTTGAAGAAACAGTTGCCGAAGCTGTTTCGACTTGGAATTCGTATGATGGGTGTGGACCGGGCGGATGTGCGGCAGGCATTGCAGGGGTTCATTGAAAGGGTTGGGGAGGAACTGTTTTTTGACATGTTTTCTGAGACTTGACGTTTTTTAAAAGAAAAAATAATGCAATAGAATAAGATGGCAGGCTCTCACTGCCGAATCATAATACCTGACAGGCTGATCAGAGATTGAAACGTGAAAAATTGATACCGCGCTGAGTGTGTCTTCACGTTGAGCAGCAACAAGAACATCCGCAAGGTGTGAGGAAGAAAGTAAGAAAAAGCTCTGGCGCGGACATTTTTGTCAAAAAATTTTCATTCGTAACTTTATAAAAAGTGTGCCTCAGACCAGGATTGAACTGATGACCTTCTCCTTACTAGGGAGGATCATACACCAACAGCTATGACATTCCCTCCACTTGCTCTGGAACTGCTGTTACCACCACGACTGCCAAGGCTTCTACCGCAACGACCACCAAGGCTGCCACCACTTCTTCCAAGGCTGCTACCACTACTTCCAAGGCCGCCACGACAACCGTCGCAGCTACTTGCGCATACAGCATCTGCTCGACTGGAGTGATGCTGACCAGCACCTGCAACTCATGTGCCGCCAATTTGCGCGGCCGACTCTTACTGCTGCACCAGCTCTTGGGACTCAACGTGTGTTGGAGAAGTCGCCAGCATCTGTGGCCTCGCTTGTTGAACATCGAGACTGCAACGTTTACAGGACAGCATTTCTTATATACACAAGTAAAGTACCTTTAGTAGAAGAATAAAACAAGTATTCAACTGCGAATTGGTGGTGTGTTTTGAATGTGACAAATGCCCGTGTTGACTTGCCCAAGTTCCACGACTTTCCCCCACACGAAATTTAGTTGTTTTTGCGCGTGCACAAAACATAAAAGTAAAAAAAAATATTCCCTTGCGATTATGAGCGAAATCGCGACAGTGACCCAGTCGCTGGAGCGTCTCTCGGCAGCAGCGTCAACCGCAAATGCGGGGAAAGAGTTTGCGGATCTGATGCAGAGTGCAGTGGATAAGACTGGCAGTCTGTCGACGTATTCCGACGGTGTGGTTGAGTGAGCACTGTTTCTTGATCTTGTTTCATCTATTTGCCTCCTATGTTGTTCATGCTCTTAACTTGTTCTTGTTTTTGTCTAATTCACCTTTCTCTTGTTACTGGTCTCTTTCGTGCTGATATCACTTCGCATTCAACAGCGCCGATCCACTCTGGCCCGTATTCAAAGCAGCACTGGCTCTGTCCATGCCTGTCCGCGTCCGAGAAACTGCATTAGATTGTCAGCAGAAATTGTTCGCGCGTGCGTGTCTGCGGGGCGCATGCATCGACAACACCGCAACAACCCACCAGCCCGCGAATTCACCCACTCAAACTGCGTCAAGCGCAACAACCACAGCAAATAACTCATCAGCAACAGCAGCTGCAGCAGGATGGTTCTCGTTCCGTGCCCCATCAATCGATTCTGTATCCCCAACAATCCCATCAAACACCGGCAACTTGAACAACACCAATCAGTCCCGCTTCCTCATTGACGACATGATGCACTCCATCTGCACCTGCTTCTCACTGTCCGCAAACGCCGCGGATGCCGAGTCGCCGGTGCAACTGCAAGTCCTGAAGGTTCTCCTGACTGCAGTAACATCAGCAACAACGTGCCAGGTGCACGCGGCGTCGCTGTTGAAGGCCGTGCAGACGTGTTTCAATGTCTTTTTGTTGTCAAAGAACCAGGCAAACGCGCTCACGGCAAAGGCTGCCTTGACGCAAATGGTGCACGCCGTGTTTTCGCGAATGGAGCGTTATTCGGAAATTGTGGCTAAAAATGCGTATGTTTTCAAACTGGAAGATGAGCAAAAGAGGGAATCAACTCTGGATTCGAAAGCTCAGAATATCTCAACAGCTGATGTAGGTCCAATCGTGAATTCATTGCCAGGACCGAGTCTTGATGACCCGATCGAAATCCTTGCTCCGCTTGACGGAGAGCGAGTTGCGCAAATTGATACCGCTGAGAAGCTATCAGAACTGAGTCCGCCTGTTGTGGGCATGTTGGATGACTTTAATGGCTCTGGAATCAATTCCGCAGATGAAGTGTCAAAAGAAAGTGACTCTGAACATATTCCAGTCGAGCCTGTTGCATCCACAGATCCAAGCGCTGCAGTTGACCCTACTGTTTCGAAAACTGCACCTTCCAATGAGCCGCCCATCATTTCCCTTGAAAATCGCAGACCCAGTTTTCCCAATCCATACAATCCCACCGTTCAATACTATGACGCGCTGTTGAGGCGGGGTGAGGCATATATTTCGATTCTTTTACCGGTGCGTTGCTAAAAACACCATGCCGATTTCAGATGCATACCTCGTATTTCGGCTTCTTTGCCGCCTTTCAGCCCAAACCGACACAAACACAACAGCAACAACATTTTCGGTCGCGAGTGTCACCGCGTCTGCTGCACAGCCCGCAATCGACGACGCGAATCCAACCACAATAAAAACTCGTTGCCTGGCACTGGAAATGTTGCTGTCCGTGTTGAATAATGCGGGTCCTGTTCTTCAGAATGAGGACATGTTTGCCGGTTTGGTCAAAACAAGTTTGGCAGCGAGCATTGGACGAAATGCTGTCACAACGAACCCGGCACTATTTGAACTAAGCTTGAGCATATTTCTCATGTTGATTCGGTATTATCGGGCGAGCATGAAAACAGAAGTCGAGGTTTCGTTTTATTCCTTTTTGGCACTTCAAAAATGATCGTCTAACCCAACATGCCTCCAACAGGTGCTTTTAAACACAGTGTATCTGCACATTTTGGAAATGGGTAACTCAACATACAAGCAAAAGTCCCTGGTCCTCCAAGGTCTCCAAAAAGTGATGGAAAATTCTCAAACGCTCGTCGACTTGTACTTGAACTACGATTGCGACATGAACAGCATCAGTATCTTTGAACGCATCCTGACAGTATGCACCCGAGTTGCCCAAGGGAAGGAGCGCATTCTTGCACAACCTATACCCATGACTTTGATGGGCCTTGCTGGGTTTGACAATCGCGCTGAGGTGGGACGGTTGCAGGAGGCGAAGCTGCGGTTGAGAGGGCTAGTTTGCTTGGTTTCAATTGTCGAGTCGCTGGTTGATTGGGGTTATGGACCGGTGGCTGCTGTAAAGAGGGAGCCAAGTGCAATGAATTTGGAAAATGACGCATTAGCAGTGACGACTTTGGCTGAAAACAAAAACGCTTCGGATTCCTTGGACTCTCCTTCTTCCACCGCAGTAGCGAACCCCGCTTCTGTCGCGAGTCCTGATTCTCCTTCGCTTCCGATTAAACCTGCATCTGCAAGTACCATTGTCAGTCCAACAACAGCCCCATACATGACTGACGGCCCTATTGCCGCACGACTGTTGCAAGATGCTCTTGCCTCCGCCAATAATCAACCTATCCTTGTCAACAAAAACCGGTTACACAATGTGTCACTAGCTGCAAAGCCTTTACCAAGTACTAAAGAACCATCCAATGTCAACGGAGGAAGTAATGGAGGCGGCGTTCATAGCCACTCGGCGTCAATATCAGCATCTGCGGTTGACGGGTCAACGAACGGATTGAGTCGTGCCGTGTCAATTCGAAGTGACATGGGCGGTTTGGTGGAAGATTCTGCTGCGGCTGCAGCAGCGGCCGCCGAGAGGGAGCACGTGGCACTGATTGCCCAGCGAAAATCGTTGCTTAAGCAGGGCATGAAACTGTTTGAAGAAAAACCAGTCAAAGGAGTTGCGTTTTTCAAAAAGAACGGATTCATAACGAAACAAATCTATCCCAAGCTGGGCCTCAAAAAACAAGAATCAAATGAGAATCCAGTGCAGAATGGAGCTACTTCTGAGATTGCTGCAAAGGCGCCGCCTATCGATGATAATGCGGCGTATAGCGTAGCTTGCTTCCTGAAGTCAACAACTGGGCTCAGTAAAAGCGGGATTGGGTCGTACTTGGGCGAAGGAGACGCGTTTTACATTCGGGTGATGCATTTATTTGTAGACTTGCTTGATTTCGAAGGGCTTGGGTTTGTGTCGGCATTGCGAATGTTCCTGCAGACCTTTCGTTTGCCTGGCGAGGCGCAAAAGGTTCTAATCTTGATTTTACGCGTCTATTATGATCTTGAGCTCTTCTTAAAACTGTTCTTTTTTGAAACCAGATTGATAGGTTAATGGAAAAGTTTGCGGATCGGTACTGCGAAAACAATCCCGACGTGTTTGCGAAAGCCGACACAGCTTATACACTTGCGTTTTCTGTGATTATGCTCAACACGGACTTGCACAGTGAGCATATCAAGAATCGTATGGATCTGCCCGCATTCCTGAAAAACAACCGGTTGGCTTTACCTGAATTATTTCTCGCTTGCATACTTATCACATTTTCGACAGGGGTATCAACGACAACGCGGACCTACCAGATGCGTTCCTTGCTGAAATCTTCAATGAAATTCAAAACAATGAAATCATCATGGAAGACGAGCAGTCTGGCAAATTTGCCAAGATGGTGTCTGGATGGAGTGGTAGCGGTGGTGCAACAGACTTATCTGACAAGGACCGCATGGACCTGTACCATCGAGAAGCTGCGCAGATTCAGAAAAAGAGCCAGCAATTAATGAATGCTGCCCGTACTGCGGCGAATGGGTCTGGCACCGCAAGCAACTCCACATCGGACGAGTCGAAAGGCGCATATCGTAGCGCTGCGAGTGCTGACCTTGCGCGGCCCATGTTTGCGACTGCGTGCTGGCCGCTCATTGCAACGTTTAGCCAGCTTTTTGAAAGTGCATCGTCAAGTGAAGTTTTGAATTTGGATGACGATTCTAGTTCAAATGCCGCCACAAACGGAAGCATGGCGGATCTTCTTGAATCGAGAAAACAAGAACTGAATGTTGTCGACTTGTGCCTGGATGGGTTTGCTGGTGGAATCCGAGTTGCAAGTCTCTTCAAAATGGAAATGGAGCGCGAGGCGTTTGTGACTTCATTGACCAAGTTGACTGGACTTTCGCATTTCAGGGATCTGAAAGCCAAGAATGGAAAAGCGATCAAGATGATGCTGGGGTTGACTTTGAAGTGAGCTTGCTTTCATTTGACCTGTGAACAACATAATTACTTACTTCATCAGCGATAATTACAGTTTGATGGAAAGCTTGGACTCATCATGGGTACACATCATCAAAGTTATTAGCCAAATGGAGCGCCTTCAGTTGCTTGGCAGCACAACTCGTGGAGCGTCTCTGGATGCGCAACGCCCTTCAATGACGGATGAGCAAGCACACAGAACCATTGAAAAATTTTTGGAGGAATTCTCGAGCCAAGACACGGTTGTCGCCGTCGATCGAATCTTTACATTCACGACAAGCCTGACGGGTCCAGCAATTTTGCAGTT